CAGACACAGTCTCACTACTTTAAAATAATTTTATTTATTTATTTATTTTTACTTTTTTTGGTACCGGGGATGGAACTCAGGTCCTTATGCTTGCGCAACAAGCGGCGAAACCACTAAACTAAATCCCCAGCCCCTAAAATAATTTTAATATGAAATTCCTCCAAAATGTCTAAGTGTTCCTCTGAGCTCCAGAGTTTTTTTTTTATCAAACTGCCTAGCCAATATTTCCACATGGATGTTCTTAGGTTCCTCAACTTTAATATGTTCAAAACAAAATTTCTGACTTTGCCACAAGATCCGGTACCTCTCCAAGAGTTCCTCTTCTCATTACTCAACACAGCTATTACACAGTTACACAAGCCAAATACTGAGAAGTCTCCTTTAACCTTTTGCTTGGTGGTATATGCTAATTACTCAATAAATCCTGATGACTGTGGCTAAATGATAATAAAGCAAAATCTGTATTTGAGTATAGCTGCTAGTGAATGTTAAAAGCGTGTTGAGGCCAGGCATGGTGGCACATGCCTGTAATTCCAGTACTTGGGAAGATGAGGCAGGAGGACCATCATGAATTCAAGAACTGCCTGGGCTACATAATGAGTTCAAGGCCAAGCTCAACTACATAGCGAGACCCCGTGTAAAAAAAAAAAAGTGTGTTCAAAGTTCTGAATTATAACCCAGGATAAGAAAATAGACATATAAAAAAAAAAGAAAAAAGAAAATAGACATATAGTCCCCTTTTATCTACAAGGGATATATTTCAAGACCCCAATGCTTGAAACCATAGATAATGCCAAATCCTGCATGTGTTTTTCCCAGGCATACCTATGTATGATAATTTAATTTATAAGTCAGGCACAGTAAGAGATTAACAATAACAAATAACAGAACAGCTACAATAATATACTATGATAAAAGTTATGTGAGGATGGCCTCCCCCTCTCTTTTCCAGTATCTTACTGTACTTTTACCTTTTCAGTCCAAAGAGTTTGGCCTATCTGAATCATCAGCATTACTAGCCTGCACTTTGGGTCCATTACTAAGTAAAATAAGCAATACTTGAGCACAACCACCGAAATTCCTTCATGGTCAACGTGGAAACTAAGCAGGCAGCTAAGTAACTACTGGTCAGGTGGCACATACAGCATGGGTAAGCTGCACAATGGGATGATTCACATCCCAGATGGATGGTGCAAGATTTCACCACACCATTGAGAATGGAACACAATTTAAAATTCATGAATTGTTTATTTCTGGAATTTTCCACATAATTACTTCTGGACTGCGGTTGGCCTTAGGTAACTATCAAAATGTGGAAAGCAAAACCACAAGTAAGGGGGGGGACCACTACAATGTATGTAAAAGGTTTTTTAAATGTTATTCTTTTTTTTTTTAAATGTTATTCTTTAGTGTAAAATGGGTAATATTTAGAGTTTTGTGACTCACAAAAAGTCTTTTATCATGTTTCCTCACACACTGTGGTGGCCCCCAGAAGCCATTCTATACAATGTGACACTTGCTTCTCCCAGTCACATTTAACTAAATTACTACTAGCTATCACATGCAAGCTGTGGCAGAGGTCCTTCCCAAGGCAGCTGAGATTGGATGTCAGGCTGCCTCTCTTCCCTCCTTCATAGCTCTCTCTGAACGAGCTGGTCCCTTAACAGGGAGATAGAGATGCTGAGAGGGTGCCTGGGGCCTAAGGAGGCTGATCTGCAGAGGAAAGGAGAGCCAGAGAAATGAAGCAGGTGCACAGCAATAAGCAGAGAGAGAGACATGAGATACGGAAACCAAATATTGCTTCAATTCCTGGTGGATTTCCAGTTTCTGGGCCTAGGTCTTTCTGGGGGCCTGTCTTAGTTATTTTTCCTGTTTTTGAGACAAAATACCCAACACTCACAATTAAAGGAGGAAAGGTTTATTGTAGTTCAGTTTATAGAGATTTCGGCTTATAGTTGGCTGGCTCCAAGGCAGGGGGGCATCACAGAGTAGAAACAGTTCATGGCAGGCAGAGGACAGCAAAGCAGTGAAGTAATGAAGAAACAGCAGCAGGAGTAAGCAACAAGCAGTGATTACAGCAGCCCTCCTTCTGTCCTTTATACTCTATCAGGCTACTGCCCTTGGGCAGGTAGCCCTCACTCTCAGGGTGGAACACCTTTAATCCTAGCATTGTACCAAGAGTCAATCCCAGTATCACATCCTTAATTCCAGCATCACACACTCTACATCCAGCCACCTCCAAAAAGCTCCACCTATGACCATGTGAACCTTTAGGGGGACACCTAAATATAAGCCATAATAGGGTCTTTTAAATTCCTACTCTCAAATTCCTGGAGTCATCTCTGTATCTTTATAATAAATTCTTTTAATTTTCCAATCAAACATTACTACACACTAATCTGTGAATGATAAAAAAATTATAATAAATTATTTCCCTCTATGTTGTACTATTTTATGGCATAATCCTTCACTATAAGTGGAAACAAATACTTGAAAGGAAGAAGATTCAGAAATTATGTGCTCCATCAGAGGGCAAAAATTGATGAATTTCTCCAATACATCTAAAGTCCACCTAGTGTTCCTGCAGGAACCACCTGAGAGAAGATAACAAACTTCTTTTGAGTAACATCTGAGAATACACATTTCCCTGAGTAAATGCAAAGGAAAAGATTAAGCCAAAGAAAGCAGTGACTTGTTCAATAAGGTCTCTAGCAAATATCAAAACTAATTTGTCACAGTGTCCAAAAGAAGAGCTGGGTGGGAAATTTTCTGGAGAAAGCAATTTTGCAGCTGTTGAGAAGGAACAAGCTGGCAGTAATTTACAAAAATCCAGTAATGTCCATTAAAGTTCCATAATCAATAGCATTAAAATTTATCTCCTACTCTGCATAAACAAAAACAACCATAAATCAATGCCAGTAAATTGAGTTTGACTAATCAAAATAGTTATGTATGCGCAAAAGCATAGCTTATTTTAAAAAACACATTAAAAGCTTTATAAATACTTACATTTTTTGTCGTCATGTCAAACTGTATTCTATTTAAGATTCTGTAAAGCCATTAAAAACAAAAATAAAAAACTTCGTCTTCAATAATTCTTTAAAAGAATATCCTGTTAAAGGGAAAAAGAGGGAATAGTAATTAACAATAATAATAGGCAACATTTATACCATATTTAATCAGTTACACACACTGCTGTCTAGGTAAACTGTCTAATCCTCACAACAGCACCATGAGATATGTACCATTTTAATTCCCATTTTCCAGGTGAAACTGGATTTTAAAACAGTTAAAGAATTTGATCAAGTCAACTCAGTTCACAAGTGGTAGAGCCTGAACTTTGAAATATTACCCCATGTCTTCTAGATAATCCACTGAAAGAAACACCAGGGCTCCTTGGAGAAATAGCTGATTATAGGGAGGATGGGAAATGTATAAGAGGGGCCGGGTATTTAGCTCAGTGGTTCTGCTGCCTGCCTCTCAAGCACAAGGACCTGAGTTTGATCCCTGGTACCAAAAAAAAAAAAAAGGAAATGTGTAAGATAAACCTAAAATATTTTACTGTACCTAAAGAGTTTTTTTAAAATGATCAAAACACCAAAAATATACATGAGCCACCTTTAAGAACCTATAAGTAGATGATTTGGGAAAGCTGAGCACTAAATTACATTCTAGTAACAGATTTATAAACCTAGGGACTAAAATAAAAAAAGATTATTGGGGATAATGGAAGACAAGGAAAAGTCCTTTGCAGAATGCCCACTAAAATATAAACAAATAATATAGTAAAACCTCCATTTTATAACTATCATGATAACCGACAAGGCAAGAATCATCAATAAACCAGTTGATGAAAGTATGGTGAAAACAAGATATTCACATAGCCCTGAAATTATTTCCCCACAAAATACCTATTAAATATGCAAACTTTCCAGTGAAGAAACCTGACACACTTTAGCTAAGTGATCAAAGTTACAAATGATCACCAAGAATGGCACAAACCCATCATAGTCACTTCAAGTGCACTAAGAGGGATATAATACCATTTCTGAGGTATTTCTGGCCAAAATGTAAAATCTAAGTCTAATGAGTAAATATCAGAGAAATTCAAATTTAAGGGCATTCTTCAGAATCATTAATGTTGGGACTGGGAATATAGTTCAGCTGAAAGAACACTTGCTTAGCATAAACAAGACTGCTAGGGACTGATCCCCAGCACCACAAAAACAAAGAAACACACAAAACAATGAAGTGTTATGAAAAATGAAGATTGAGAAACATTTCAGATTTTAAGACTAAAAACGTAAGAAAATGAAATTCAATGTGTGATCCCCAAATGGTCTGTAGACTAGAAAACATAATTATTATGAAGGCCATTTTTGCGGTAATAGAAGATAAGGTTCAAAGACTAGATAAATAGTATTGTTTCAAGATTACCATTCCAGATTTTGGCCAATGAGAAGTGGGTTTTACCCAACAGAAAAAATCCTACAGGCAGTTAGAGAAAAGAAACAAATCACTTATAAAGGAAAGCCCATCAGAATCACGGCTGACTTCTCAACACAAACCCTCAAATCAAGGAGAGCCTGGAGTGAAGTATTTCAAGCCCTAAAAGAAAATAACTTCCAGCCTAGACTGTTGTATCC